ATAATGTCAAAGAAGCATTAACTGATGAATTTTGGATATATGTTATGCAAGAGGAACTTTTCCAATTTAGGAGGAATGAAGTTTGGGAGTTAGTCCCTAGACCTGAAGATATGAATGTCATCGGTACCAAGTGGAATTTTAAGAACAAATTTGATGAAAGTGGTAATGTGACAAGAAAAAAGGTTAGGTTAGTAGATCATGGGCACACTCAAATAGAAGGAGTGGGTTTTAATGAGACATTTTCTCCTGATTGCAAGACTTGAGTCCATTAGATTACTTTTAGGAATTTCATGTATGATGAAATTCAAATTGTTTCAAATGGATGTAAAGGGTGCTTTTCTGAATGGTTATCTAAATGAAGAAGTCAATGTAGAACAACTAAAGCGGTTTATTGATCCCAACTTCCCGGACCATGTGTACAAATTAAAGAAAGACTTTTTATGGTCTAAAGCAAGCTCCAAGAACTTAGTATGAGAGATTGATAAAATTTATGATCAACAATGGATACAAAAGAGGAGGTATAGATACAACTCTATTTGTGAAGATAGATGAAGAAAAACTCATGGAAGCTCAAATTTATGTTGATGACATTGTGTTTGGTGGGATGTCGGACTTGATGGTGGAAAGTTTTGTCCAACAAATTATGTATGAATTTGAAATGATTCTTGATAGAAAACTCACTTAATTTCTTGGTCTTCAAGCTAAGCAAATGGAAGAGAACATACTTGTCTCTCAAAACAAGTATGCTAAGAGCATAGTGAAGAAGTTTGGTCTAGACAATTCTAGTCACAAAAGACTCCTGCTGCTACTCATGTAAAGGTTACCAAAGATGAAAATGAAGTTGATGTTGATCAAAGTCTATATAGAAGCATGATTGGAAGTTTTCTCTACCTCACAGCAAGCAGACCCGACATCACATTCTATGTAGGTGTATGTTCTAAATATCAAGAAAATCCCAAAAATATTCATCTTACTCAAGAAAATAGAACCTTGAGGTATGTCAATGGAACAAGTGACTATGGCATTCTCTACTCACATGACATCAACCTTATTCTGGAAGTATACTGTGATGCTCATTGGGCTGAAAGTGTTGATGAGAGAAAGAACACATCTGGTGGATGTTTCTTCCTTGGCAAAAACTTAATATCTTATTTCAGTAAAACCTTTTTTTATCTACTGCTGAAACAAAGTATATTTGTGCAGGGAGCAGTTGTACTGAATTGCTCTGGATGAAGAAAATGTTGAACGAGTAAGAAGTCGTGACATTATTCTGTGACAACATGATTTTTATCAATATTTCAAAAATCACGTTCAACATAGTAGAACCAAGCATATTGACATTTGTCATCACTTCATTAGGGATCTTGTGAAAGATAAAGTTATAGTTATTGAAACTGTGGACTGAAAAATAATTGTCTGACATTTTCACCAAGGCATTAGATGATGCCCACTTTGAAAAGTTAAGGGGTGTACTTGGTATTTGCATTTGTTAGAATAAATAGTAGTAAATGCTAGGGAGGTGTGTAGGGGACTCTCTCTCTCTCTCTCTCTCTCTCTCTCTCTCTCTCTCTCTCTCTCTCTCTCTCTCTCTCTCTCTCTCTCTCTCTCTCTCTCTCTCTCTCTCTCGGTATGTGTTGCACATGAAACAATACAGACTTATCTTGTGTCAAAACCTCCTTTTATATGGACCTTCGTTACAAGCAAGAATTATATTCTTCTGTTATAATGATGTTTTATCTTCTCTCTCTCATATCTTTATCTCTTTCAATGAGTCAAAAGTATGAAATTTCAAATAAGAGATCCTCTAACAAAGGAGTCTCAATCATGAAGGCTAGAGATAACAAGAACAATGAAGTTGGGTCCACCTCTTCTGCAATTAGTTGGGTCACATTTGCTGGATCATCAAGTGGAACATCTATGACTAGGAAGACATTTGTGACCAAGATGGAGTCCTTGAAGAAGAAGTCGGCTCAAACTCATGAATCTGACTTAGAAGCTGATGAAGACTATATTACTTACTTGAACTGTAGAGGATGGATAGATGAATAAGTCTGAAGGATGTTGATTTTAGTTATTTTTGGCCCTTGTATTTTTGATAAATTTCTCCTGATCTGATGCTTGTATGTGTCAACATACTAACTTTAGTATTGACTAACTAATCTTTCTGAGAAACACCTTTGCTAAATTATGGCAAAAATGGGAAGTGGTAGTATGGTGAGTATGGTGTGTGATTTATGCTAGCTAGTATGACTAACTAACAGATAACATGTAATTGTTTAGTACTAACCATCTGGGTAAGTACTAATGTTGTGCTCACATGCAGGAGTATCGAGTAAGACAACTAGTCCTATTTGGGGTAAACTTTTGTGCTAGTAGTATTATGCATATTCTGATACTAAGTAACATGTATGACTAAGATTGTGAATGATTGCACGACTGAATGGTTTGTTATGGAGCATTGTAATTGTGTGGCATTTGTTCTGAATGCTACTGACTTTTCGCTGTTCTGATATAACTCTAATGAAAGTTAATGTTAATAGTGCATGCTCTGATAGTATTCTGTTGTATGTTACTTGTTCTAATTGAATGAGTTTTATTTATCTTGAAGAGTTGTTTTGCCACAATTTAAAAAAAGGGAGATATTGTTGTTCCTTTTTTATTGGTTACATTATGCAATACAACAACATGGAAAAGTGTTCATGCTCAACTACTTCAAGTTGTTTTCTGATGTAGAAGGGACACGTGTTGGATACGATGTGACAACATGTGAGTACGACATTTGGGCCTTGATCAACAGGCCAAAATACTATGTTTTGGAAGGATTTTCTGTAGAATATCAATTATATATATTTTTATTTTATTTAGCAATATGATTATATGATTTGTTGGACAGGTTTGAAGATCAAATCAGATTTAAATGGATATTTAAATTTAAATTTGAAACAAACCAAATCATATCTTTTTGTTGGAGAAATTTAAGAAACAAATCATATTCAACTAATTATGCAATTATTCTAGATGGAATTCAACCAATATCCATTGGAAAAATCTTAGAATAATTTGTAATATAAGGAGCTCAAACCTACACTGGAAAGCAAACAATATTCGTTGAAGATCACTAAAGTGATAGGGTTTGTTTAAGTCTTTGTTATTTCTTTGTTTACACCACATTATGTTTCAGTAACTTGGCATAATAGTAGGTTTATCTAGTTGAGTTGTATATCAACATTCAACTATGATAAGTGAAGTTGATCACTAGGTTTTAGTGATTGAGAGAAAGTGAGAGGGATTCTCATATTTAGAGGGATACTTAAATAGAAAGTCAATGGGTAGTGTTAGGAAGAGGCGTAGAACTTCATAGGGTTTGAAGGTTCTTATATGACTAATTGAACTAAACTGCTAATAATAAATTCCCTTTCTTGTTACATAAAATTGAGTTACCATTATTGTGTTCTTTATTGTTTTTCTGCTCCATCATCTTGTACTAGTTATACTGTGTTAATTATGGTGATTCTGGTTTAACTTGTCGAACCTTCTGTCCCAACATCATGTCCTACATCTATTCCCTCAAGTTTAGAATTTCAATACAGATAATGGGTTTTAAAAACCTCGAGAAACCTTGATTAATGTAAGTTATTTTCTAATATAAATTTTTTTTATAACATTGACGATGTCATGAAAGATGGTAAATTCAATATCTCTATTTTGACCGAATGGAAAGTGATGCAAGAGAGATTTTTGAAAGCCGATGACAATATGAAACTCCACATCAAAGAGCAATTGAGTAATATTGCCTATCCGGAAACCGCCGACTTGACACCACCATCTCAACCGATAAAAGCAAAAGGTGTTCCGAAGTAAATCAAATATACACCGAATGACAATTCAACTACATGATCTCCTTCCTATTTTGATGTTGACAAAGTTTTTCCCAACTCACCATCACCAAAATTTCAAAAAAGTGTTGTCAAAGGAGCTCGCATTAACAAACCACCTCCTACGGCCCCTCCATCGAAAATTTCATTCAATGACGAGATGCTCATTTTTATGCACAAATACATCGAGTGGATCGTCAATGTTGTTCCTGTTTTTTTTTTAGTTTGTGTTGGATTTTAGTCCCAAAAAGGAACCAAAGTCATGATTTTTAAAATGGGAGGCCAAAATCCAAAAAAATAAACAAAATAAGGGGACCAAAAATTGCAATTAAGCATATATGTTTTATCTTCCCTATAACAACATTTGTTTTTTTGTAAAAAAAAAAGGATTTTGTTTCAAATGTTCTGTTAACAAGATAATAGGGTGCAGAACCAAAGATATATCTTCAGAATTAACATGTTAGTTTTTGAATGGTCCATATGATCTATGACTTCTATAAATTAAGGTGCTCTTATGTTATATTTCTCACAAACACAAAATATCTCAAACGTCACAAACCAATATCACCTGGGATGTCACAAATGTCTCCTTCTCTAGCGCAACACATCGAAAGTTTAAACTCACAGAGTACACCTCTCTTGCAGATATAAATATGAAATCCATAATCTCCTATCTTACAAAGACAATCAAAAAATTGTAAAGCTCGAGTATCGTTCACCGTCGATTGACAACAAAGTAAAAATTTACAACACATCTAGTATGATCACACTCCAATCCTGGCAATATCGAATATCTTGTAGGAATGTTTTATGAAGACCAATAATCAACACATAGGACAAGTTCTGACAGATTGTATTTCACTCACAATAACATTAATCATTAGTTTAAATCTTATAACATCATTTTTCAAGTGGGAGCGCATTCAACTTGAACACTGATTCAGAACCAAGCACATCGGAGCCACTTGTAAATGCCAGAATCATATCAATAACAATATTAGAAAAAATCGTATGATCAACAATCATGCCAAAAGACTAGTAATTTATCAACTGGGTTACTAGTTATAATCAAAGAGATGTTGATAAATAAAAACATAGAAGGAAAGAAAAAATAAAACAAACCAATTATAAATGTCTCTTTCTAAGAGGTTTTTTTCTGCAATCAACTAAGTCAACTTCAGCCGAGGGTGAATTTTGAAGCAAGAAGTCCACAATTCCATCAGGTACGAGCGGATACGGTTCCAATCCTAAATCAAATGCTTTTTGTATCCTGGCAGCTTCTTTCTTTGACTCGATGTTCCATAACTTTTCATGGCACAATGTCAGACGAAGTTCATATTGAATTTCGTCAATTTTCACTTTCAATGACTTCAATTTACCCAAGGAAGGGATCTTAATCTTCAACAAACCAGGAATTAAAGAGAGAACCTACGCAATGAGGGATGCAAGCAGATTAGTCTAATGCAAGTCAGATGATTTTTTTATGAAACTTAGAAGAAATTAAAAACTCTGTACCTGAAGGGTGCTTGCAGTGACTGTCAACGATTTTATATTATCGAACTCGGAGAGCCAATTGAACAGAATCAAAGGAGACCTACAACTATATGGAAATACTCCTGCGTCAATTGCGTCAATATCTACATGTTTAAGAGAAGAAATATTGCTCCCAAAGATATCCCGATAAGGAACACCACGAAATGCAAATGTACAAAGACTTGGAGTGCAAAGAACAATTTTACTATAACTTTCCAAGTCACTGAATATAGTAAAATTGACGAGCGCCGCATTTGATATGTAGAGGGTTCCCAAACCTTTCACAGTACAATCAGAGATGAGCAAACGATTCAACATATTAAAGGTCGAAAATGGCTCGGCACAATCATTATCGTCAACAGAAAAAGTAAAATACTCTAGTTCCAAGGTAGATAATGCTGGCAAATTGAGAGATTTTGGAAACAGGATTTGACAACCATAACAAATAGAAAGGGTAAGATGTGTTAAAGTCTGAGATGAAAATAAGGCAACAGGAATTTGTGCAGTGCCACTAGTTACACTAAGTCGCAAGCGTTCAACATTGTGTGAAATAGCATAATTCACAAACCATTCAAGTATGTGCGGCTTCACGGGAATAGATCTATTCTCAATGTCAAGAGTGTGCAGTGAGACAGAGGAATCGCGAAGTAATAAAACCTTAGACACGAATTCAGTGAATATCTTATTAGTTGGAAAATCCGATCTACGAAATATAAATGCAGGAAGACATTTCCAGAGATCCTTCCATCTTGACGATAAAATGCATGTTCCAACTGCATGTTTGATACTCAAAAAAGAGAGTATGTGAAGGATAACGCAATCGGGTAAATCGCTGAGCATGTCTTTGTGTACAATATCATTAACTTCAACGTTCTTTGTCGCGAGCTTCCTGCATAAACCAAATCAATCATCATAAGCAAAGGTCAAAACATAACTGATACCGTAACTAGCAAGAAAGAAAAAAGAAAAAAAAAATACTTGTCTGGAATTTCTCCCCTGTAAGGCTTAACAATAACACAATCATTGCAAACAAAATGAGGGATTCGTTTAGATAAAACGAGGTTCACCGTCTCCCTGTGAGGCTTAACAATATCCTCCCTGTGAGGCTTAACAATAACACAATCATTGCAAACAAAATGAGGGATTCGTTTAGATAAAACGAGGTTCACCGTCTCCTCCCTGTAAGGCTTAACAATAACAGAATCATTGCAAACAAAATGAGGGTTTCGTTTAGATAAAACGAGGTTCACCGTCTCAGGGTAAAGAAAGGTAGCAAAGCCGAACATACGCTTCTGCTGGTAAGGAATCCTCACATCTTGAACAGGTCCAAAAATACTTCATCAACAAAAAAAACAAAAAAAACAAGGTTAATAATTATACATTTGCGAAAACGATGAAGTTGAATTAATATATTAAACCTGAAGTAACAGAAAACATCTTCCTCTCTGAAAGTACTGTGAGGTGGGAAAGTGAAGTAGAGTTTTCTTGAAGAAGGGGTAATCATTGAGCCTGTGAAATTCATCACTCACGATAAACCCTAGAAAGTGCAATGGAAAATCAATCAGAAAAACCTAGAAAGTGGATATGTGAAATTGAATTGGAAAGGAAAAATCAATGGAGAAATAAGAAATACCTGCGCTTTCTAGAAAGTGCAATGGAAAATCAATCAGAAAAACCTAGAAAGTGGATATGCTGGAAAATACAAGAGATTTAAACCTACGCTTTCTAGGGTTTATGCTAAACCCTTTTCATGGATTTGGAATTTATTTTTTTATAAATCTATATTTATTCTCTTTATAATAACAATTTTATTCTACTTTTTTTTTTAGTTATTAAAAGATTTTTCAATCAATGTCATTAAAAAAAGGGAAAAGTTACATTTTAAAAAAAAATAATCATCAATGAAATATATAATCAAGGTTAATTAATATTAATTACTTAACTAAAATAGTAGAAAGGTATATCAATTTCAATATACTATTAGAAAAAGGGTTGAAAGAAAAAAATAGTTAGCTTATTCGTAACTTGATCTTTAATAAAAACTAATTGAAGATCCGTGCTCCCATATGAATAAAATTAACTTGTAATAATAGAGATAAATTATTTTGATATATTTTTATAATGCTCAAATAGAAATTCTAAAACAAAAGAATTGCATTGTAAAGTTGACAACGTACGACTAATATTTTAGTTATGATCAAAAGTATTACATTATTGCAAAGAATAAACATAAAGATAATTATTAATTAAAATAAAATAGATATTATGCTGATAGTACTCATGAGAAAAAAAGTTAGTTCTTTAGATTACTATATAATATTATTCAATTTGATAAAATAAAATTTTAATTTTATTAAAATTAAAAAAAATAAATTAATTAGTATTTTTAGTGATAATAAAAAAATAGAATTGAACAAATATATCGTAAACACAAAATTTTCAAACTCACATTCATATATATAAATGTAAACTTAACAATATGTAATACAAAATAATCTTTACAATAAATTTTTATTAAAATATTAAAAATATCATTTAATTATACTTATTTAAGAATCTTCAATCTATTAACAAAAATTTAGATCATCGAAGACATATTTAAATACTAACTCCATATTTAAAAATTAAAAAAAAAAAACCTTTACCGTGTCTCAATAAAGAAATACAAGTTTAAAAGATACATTATTTTGAAAACTATTTAAAAAATTATTTTTAAAAAATAGTTTTAAAAAACAAATTAAATATATTTGATAATCATGCATTTAAAAAGTCTTTTAAAGTTGTATAATGTTATAAATTTATCATTATAAAACACTTTCTTTTAATTTCTAAAACTAAACCAAAACACAAAATATTGAATTTGTGTTGTGATTCATTTACATATAGCATATGTTTGTCATGGATCTGCTTTGTTATGAAGTATATGACACATGTATATTGCACTAATTGATTTTTCTTTTATTTAAACAAAACCAATATTTGACTCATTCTTAAATCTAAAGTATTATAGCCTCCTAACCTTTTAAAGATTGAATTTCACATTGTGTCTAACATAGATACAAAGCATCCAATAATTAGTATATGCATCAAAATCTTACCTTATAAAATCTTTAAGTTTGAGTCAGAGAAGATTGAAGATAGTTATTGCAACTTCTATGTCAAGGAGATAACTGATAATTTTTAAAAACGGGTTTTTGTGATAGGTCTTTTGAATTTAATCTTCTTATATTTCTTTTAATTTCAAGAAACTAATAGGACTAAGAAGTAATAAAATATATCTTCTAAGTCCATATATTTCTACCAATGAACACAAATCAACTCCACCAACTATCATAGAGCAAGGCATATCTTTGGGCTACCAAACATAAAACCAATTCATTTGATTATGTTTTAGGTTAATTAGAGAGTAACTGAATACATGTGAATAACTGCACAACCAATTTGAGCATAATAGTTGAGAAACATGATAAAATAAAGCTATTGTTATGTCATTTCACACTTCTCGATGTCATTACGAGCTTTATTTAAAAAATAGTAGCTCCATCATCAAATAATCAAAAGAAACGTTAGAATATACTCCATTTAACCGTGCAAGTTTGGAATTGATGGATGATGGTAGGATTAAAGTAGATTCAACTTGTATCAAGCCATACCTGTTTTCGTGCAACAAATAATCTGAGATCCACGAAAAAGTAAACTTGTGCAAGATTGTTTTAATGCTGAGTTTACCATAGGACGCTCTTTATACAAAACAAGTAGGAGAATTGATAGTTGATTGGAAATCCCACAGGTGCATAGGTTGTACATTTTAGGTAAAAATCTGCACTCACCCCAATATTATAGTACAGTGGGTTGTGTTGTGACAGTTTGCAGCATCCTGGAAAAAAGGATAAAACCACTTTACATAAGGTTGAGTGTCACATCTTCCAAAAATGAAGCATAAAATGTGAAAGCTATATTGTGCCTAGTATACGGAGGTAAATTGACCAATGTGTATTAACTGATGAATAAAATAAAAATACTACTAAGGTTGCAGTGATCTTTCTAAGATAACACATTGCAATGGTTGTAACAACAAATTGATGAGTCGTATAACTTAGTGATACCATTCAAAATTTTAATTTGTTAATTAGTTGGGAAACACATTCGTTAGCAGTGTTGAGCTAAATTATTTGACTAACCAAGTTTGTCTTTGCTAAAAAGATCAATAACTAATGATAAATATCAACAGTGATGAGCTAAATTTGATGACTAACCAAGTTTGTCTTTGCTAAAAAGATCACTAACTAATGATAAATATCAGCAATGGTGAGCTAAATTTGATAACTAACCAAGTTTGCCTTTGCTAAACAGATCACTAGCTAATGATAAATATCAACAGTATTGAGCTAAATTTGATGACTAACCAAGTTATATGACAATGACTTGTTAAATACAACTCACTTAGAAGATAATTGTATCATGTTACAATGAAAGGACATATTTAATTCTTCTATCTGTGTATAAAGAATAACTAATGATATGGATCAACAATTATGTATTTGGTACACCAATCCAAAATATAGTTGAAATCTATCATTCATTAAAATTTGAAACAATATATTACAAATTAAAAATCATAATGTATATATATTGTGGACTTTACTGACCATGACTTGCTAAATATAACTTAGTTAGAAGACAATTGTATAATGAATAACCACATTTCTATTATTCAAACTTAGTTCAAAGAGATTTTAAAGTGTTAGAGTGGTTAGACATATTGAAACTTGATACATAGTATGTTCTGGATACATAACATGAATCATGAAACTCACAAACATAAAACAGTAAGACTGAAACAATGAAAAATGAAAAATGAAACACCACAATCTGTAACATAATAAACATAGAAAAAAGAAACAGCATAGCTTGAAGGAAACATGGAAAACATGAAATACATGGCATAATACATAAGCATTCAAAACATGAAACACATGAAACATAACTTAGCGAATCTTTAAAGCCTAAAATACCCAACATCTTTCAATGAAAAACTAAGTCAGATTTGCTTTAGGTCCAAAAAAACTCAACATCATACACTTACAAACTAACCTTGGTGAAGAGGCAGAGGATGGATGAAAAATGGAAGTAGAGAATGAGTGTGTTAGGAACCAGAAAATGAAATAGCAGAAACAGAAGGAATAAAACAGTGAAAAAGAAAACAATGAGCTTTATTATGTCAATAATGGAGAATTACAGAATGAGAGGAAATAATCCTTAGATTCTAACGCAGAGCTGAAGCTCCTATAGGCAAGCTACTACTGCCTATTCATTCTTACAGCTAACAGAATCCAAGGTACCCTCTCAATATCACTCACACTCCTTATATTCAGCAAAGTAGTTACTATCCTTTTGTGACCCTCTTACCCCTTCTAGAATATACCTTCCATTCTCTAGGTCCCATCTCATGAATGGTTAATGATGTATTGGGCCCCACTCCTCCTCTTGACCCACTAGATCCCACATCAGTCCTAACAACACCCCCTCTTGAAATTACTGCCTTGTCCTCAAGGCAAAAATTTGGGAACTGACTTGTTAACATCATTACATCTTCCCATGTGGCCTCTTCCCTATTTCTTCCTTTCCATTGTACTAAGACCTGCCTCACCTCCTCTCCCTATGCTTGAGCAGTTCTGTGTGCTAAGATTGTGTCAGGTTCATAATTGTTGTCCTTATCACCTTCCAAATCATCGGGCAAGGACTCCTCAGCCTGGTATGACCCAACAACTTTCTTCAACAATGACACATGAAACACTAGATGCATGCGGGAATCTTTTGGTAGCTTTAGTTTATAGGCCACTGCTCCTATGCGTTCCACCATTGGGTAAGGACCAAAGTATTTTGCTGTCAGCTTAGCATTAATACGTGATACCACTGATTTCTGCCTATGAGCTCTTAGTTTGACAAACACCCATTCCCCTATGGAAAAGCTCCTGTCACATCTTTTCTTATCAGAAAAATGTTTCATTCTATCTTGGGCTCTTAATAAGTGAGCTCTTAGTTGTCTGATAGCTTCATCCCTATCTAACAACTCATTTTGTACTGCCTCCACTCTAACTTCTCCTTGGATCCATCGGACAATGGTTGGAGGGGTCCTACCATAAACTATCTCAAAGGGGGTTTTTCCTGTTGAAGCATGGTAAGTGGTATTGAACCAATATTTTGCCCAAGGAATCTAGTACATCCATGTTTTTGGCTGGTCAGCTATGAAGCACCTTAGGTAAGTCTCCAGACACCTGTTAACCACTTCGCTCTGACCATCAGATTCAGGATGGTAGGCACTACTCATCTTAAGCTTGGTCCCCTATAATTTAAACATTTCCCTCCAAAAGTTACTCATGAAGATGGGGTCTCTATCACTCACAATTGATATTGGAACACCATGAAGCCTAAGATTTTCTCTTACAAATACCTCTGCTATTGTTCTGGCGGTGTATGGGTGTTTCATAGCAATGAAATGGCAGTACTTTGATAATCGAT